CACAGGATCCAGCTCCGATTCATCACGCGGGGGCATGTCCGCCAGCGCGTCCTTCGCGGCTTCCATGTTCTTCGTCATGTACTCAATTGCCTGAGGAAATGCACAACGATGAAAGGTCCAAAAGCCGTTCACTCAAGGTTGGGCCAAAACATAGGCTGCAGTTGGTTGCAATGAGTTTCTGATAATTGAAAGTCAGGTTGCCGATTTCAGATTGAAGGCTTCGATCAAGGCAGTCTCCCTGAGGACTGAGGTGTTGCCTACGCTCCGCGCTTTCAAGTCACCTTCGGACAAGGCTCCCACACTCAACTCTGGATGATCCCGTACGCCCCGCTCAATGATCTCAGCGATGTGTTTCAAGGCTGGCCCGTACTGCTTGGAGCTGTAGTAGCACAAAGCCACATTGTACGCAAGGCTGGCTTGGTAGCCTGTGGTTTGGGTCGCATCATTGAAGAGCTTCATAGCCTTGATTCAAAGCCGTGGGTGTGAGTGATGTGGGATGTCAACAGTTCAGTTTAACTGTCTAAATTCTGATGTCCAAGGCATGGTCCTCTATGGGACTAAATGGGACCAGAAACTTCAGTGTACCTCTTCTCTTTCCAAAGAAGTGCACCTTCAAAGACTTGTCTCTCTTCAGACCCAGGGTGGCATTGATCCAAAATGCTGCGGGCGAGTTGTGTCTCCTCCTGCTCGTAGGAAATAGTTGCCTCAAGGGGGTGTGCCACAAGTGTCACAAATCGCTGAACAAGATCGCCCCTAAGAGCCATAAAGGACTCCTTTCAAAGGGCCATCACATTTCTCATCATCAAGATCCCCACCCACCTGGAGCATCAGCACTCTCTCTGTGTACTCTGGAGATTCCACTCCAGTGCAGGCCTGTGATGCCTCTTCATACAAGCCGGCCTTGATCAGACTCTGCACATGGTAGATCTTGTACCTAACGTGAAAAATCCCTTCGAAAAACGGGACGAACTTCCACTCTCCTCAAAGTGTTGAACAAGACCCCGTTAAACTTTAGTGTCTAACAGGATGAGGGGAAAACATACAAAGCGCTTTCAACAAAAGGATGGTGGGCTCATCGACGTCCGGCACTACTTGCACCAGCTGCCCGTAGGTGTCTGCCGCATTTGCAAAGTCCTGCATGTGGTAGTAACAATAGCCCAGCAGGGACAAAGCACAGCGACTCTCCGGGAAGAACTGCAGCTGCTGAGTCAAGATTTTTACCGCTTTGTCATATTTCTGCTCCATGATGTGGGAGTAGATTGTCTTCGTCATCTCCCCTTCTTTGATTTGAACTCGCCCCATCATGATGCCCAAAGCCGGCCGGTGCCAGCCGCGAGTTCAAAAGCAGTGATCCTGTTGAGCCGAGACGAAAAAACGGAATTGAGATGGCCACAGTCAAGAGGCTTGGAGTCCGTCAGATATCTGGGCCGTGCGGTTTGATCAAGTGGACTCCCCCGAGCATGGAAAGCATGGGCATAGAAACCAAGGGCAAGGGCTCTCTCTGAGTTGAACTCACTCAGTTCCTCTGCCTGCCTACAATGCTTCAAGCTTCTGGACATGCCTCTTCTCTTCAGCCTGTTGAACATGTTGCCGATATCTTTCGCGCTCTCTTTCCTGCATGGTTCCAGCATAGTTTGTCTGTCCTGTCATACCTGACATCAACAAAACTACATTCTGGCCAACATCTATTGGAGCAAAACAAAAACAGAAGGACAATCACAAGGTTTGCTTCGCATGGGCAGTTGCCCTAAGCTGGTCAGCCAGGCCGATTGAACTGTTGTCTTCTGAAGTCACCAAAGTGGTCGTGCTACCTACTTGCAGTGCCTCAAATGCCAACCTATCTTGCCGGGCCCGTTCTCTGAGCTCCTCTTGCCTTGCGACAGGTTCCAACTGACATGGAGCCACCATGCTAGAAACAAACCAAATTCAAATGATGGTAATTCTGAATTCTGATGTAAGTCGACATTAGTCAACCAGTGCCTGAGCAAGTGTGACCATGGCTTGTCATGCCGACAGGCTTGAATGTCGGGACACAACCCCCACCGGTCTGGCACAACAACGTGTCTGGTTGTTTCTTATAAGTCTCAGCTAATACGTGCCGGAATGTCTCCTAAACCTTAAACATGACCTCTGACCCTTGTTGAACTTCAAAGGCTGGAAGCATCAACCAAGAGCTTACGATCCTCGGTCTTTACAATGTTGCCGACCCAGCCCGAGAGAAAGCTTTTCTCTACCGGTTCAAGATCTTTTGGTGTTGAAATGACTTGCAGCAAGGCATTCTAACGTGAATCCATGTAAACTTCCTCCTCAAACTCACGAACCGCCTTGCTAGCTGGACAGAGGCTCTGCTGGGAACTTGAACCTCGCAAAGGTGAAGCTCGCCATGAGAAGACATAGGCAGCTTGAATATGCATTGGCATGACATTGGCATGTTGTGGGCCATTTAGGAAAGCACATGGCACAGTGCAACTCTTTCCGATGTTCCTCGTATGTCTGTGTCGACCACGCTTTACTGAAGAACCCTCATACATAAGGCTTGGGCATAGAAAACAAATCAAAGCAATGCCTTCAACTAAGCTTCACAAGAGCAACCTCTGACTAAGCACCAACATTCTTCACAGGAACTGGCTTCCAAGCAACCCTCTGCCTCCGGTTCCTCCACAGGAGAGACTGGCGACAGGTCTTCCTGAATAGCTGCACTAAATCCGGGAAGAGTCCATGAGGTAAGTTGAAAATAATAGCGATTGCCTCCAACCATGGCCTCCGACCTAAGAGCGATGGCCGTACAGTAGCAATGGCCTCCAACCTAAGTTGAAAATAATGTGGGTGTTCCAACATGAGACACACTTGAAATGCATCTAGCTCACCCACCTTTGGTCAAAGAACATAGGGCTGAGTAGTCATCCAGCAGCATTTTACAAGAGCTGTATCAACCGCATGGTTCAAAAGGGTTCGTGCTCAAACATCTGATATCATTGGTGGTGGTATGTGTTCTCGTGCATGTCTGATATCACCATTTGGGATATCTTACCATGGCTGTTCATCGTGTGCCCAGTGTCTTGGAGAAAATGTCCAGTCTGTGCTAAGAATAAACGAAGGAAGGTAGGAAGAAGAGAAAGGAAGGATTGATTGTCAAAGGTAATCAAAGGCTTCTTAAGACTGATCTCCCGGCGGCCCACCTCGCCAGAGTCCGAGTTGCTCCTATGCCGGTGGGTGGTGACAGACAAGACTATCTAGAATCTAGCCTGAAGGTACAGCTACACTTTGTCTGCACACCGTCAGACTAAGCAACTGTGTTCAAAGCTTGGGTGGTCATGGGTGGTCTGCAACGGTTTCCTTGCAGTTTCAGCATAGGACTTTGTGCTTGCCTGTAGTCCGAGCTATTCCCACTGTAATCCGTGGAGATCGATCTCCGTGAGTCGCCTCCAGGCTTGGGTGACCCAAATCAGAAAAGCACGAATGTGAGTGACCATTACCATTAGTGATTCCTTGTATATACATCCCTGTCATATCCTCACAGCTTGGAAGTCTCATACAAAAACCTTGAAAGATGTTGAAACGCTACCCACAAAGCAAGCCGCCACAAATCCTTCACAGTTGCTGCATGGCTTCTTTCAGTATCGCGGCGTCTGTGCAGCCAACGTTAGACTGGGTGTACCAGCTAAGCAGCAGCCCACGTTTCTTCTGCTGCCTCTTCTTGACCTTATCACACTCTCCGTAAGAATTAGTAAAGTGCACTGTTTATATACTGTAAAGAACTATCACGCTCTTCGACCTCAGAAACCCCAATGGCAAAACCTGAAGGCCTGGGACATCAATTCTGAGAAGCCTTTCGACTTCTGAGCCCACATCTCAAAGGTCCCGGCCGCAGATAAAAAGATGCAAGCCCCAGCACCTTAGCAAAACCAGATCAGCTGTGTCAAACCAACGTCAACCATGCACTATGACACCACGATCGGAAGTTCAAAATGAGCCACCATGGTGGACCATGGTAAATGTGAATCACTCCTGCTAGACCTCACGCACAAATTGAAATCCAGCGTCCTTCACAAGACAGGTTCCGGAAGCCTCCATGTATGCACTCATATACTCATATATGATGCATTCTTCAAGGGTAGCCATTCACTGTGGACAAGGGAAAAATCATGGCACTGAAAGGACGTAATGGATCCACAGAAGCAAAATGCCTTTTCATTTGATACCTCCCGCCCTCAGTTCGCACAATCGCAAGCAACCTACAAATGGAAAAAGATGCATCTGACTGCTTTCAATTCCCTGATCCTGGCAGCCCTGCTAAGAATGGCCGCAGCCACGCCAGAGATCAACCTTGGTCGAGTGGCCCCCTGACACACTCTAGGTTCCAAAAGGATTGCCCGGAAACGCCGTAAACAGCATAATAATAATGCTGCTCTGCAGAACAATTTTCAAAAAGGCTATTATATGGGTCACAAGAGAAAAGGTCATCCGATTTGTAGAGCATGCACACAGCCCAATAATATAATCACCGCGTCCTGAATTAGAGACAAATCGAGCGAGCGAGCGAGAGAGAGAGAGAAAGCCTTACAATCATCCTGCCCATGCTCCTTTTAGCGCAAACCCGTCCCGTCCCTAAATCATACATCTCAAAGGTAGTACCCGTACCCTGTTTAAACCCATCAGCTGAGATTGGCACAATGTCACCGGCAAGCCGGAGGTTGGCGGGCCTACTGAGAAAGCAAAGGTCAGAACACAGGTTCGTTCGCACCCGGTATCAGGTATCATGTTTGGAGACGGTCAGCCAAGGGCTTTAGCCAGCACGTCTGCCTTTATGATCCAGGAGTTTCTGACGGAATAAAGTGTCATGATTGTCAAGCAAATCAAAAGCAAACAACTTTGTAGCGGGAGGCTGCGGCGCATGGCACTACTATCTATAACTGAACTGAACTTATATGACTTTGACTTTCACAATGGCCGATGCAAAAGTTTCTTTCGGATGGAGATGCTTCTGTCCGTGCATCAATTCAGACCCCTTCAATCTCATCGTCCGTGATGTCATCCTCAATGAGCCGAGCGGACCTGGCCACAACAGTGTGGTGCGTTCAAGGCTTTCGGCATGGAGGATGACAAGAGAAGAACAAATGAAAAATCCTTCAGTGTTCTTTATTCATTCCTGGGAAAATACTTCACAGGGGGCTATGTCGGTCAACAGGGCTCTGTCAACCCAAACGTGAAGATGGCACCCTGGCCTGGAAATCCAGGCTGGTTCAGTTGAAGTGCTTGGCCGCATGGTCACCGGAAACACCAATCGCTCAGACTGATCAGTTCTCCCCTTGCGATCAGATCTGGCAGATCTGCGACCAGTTCTGGCCCACCCACGTTTGGCATGTCTACCGTCAGCTCCGGCAGACCTGCGTCTTGCAGGTGTGCCGACTGGTCTGGCCGCGGAGTTGTCCAGTCTGACCCATGTGATGCAACCAGTCTTGTGACGGTAGGGCTTTGGTTTGTCGTAGCGCTGCTTGTTGTCCAGTACCCAGGCATAGATTTTGGAATATGCAATGCAACTAAGGTCCTCGATGCAATGCTTGGGCAAGTTCTCTTCAGCTCCAATGAAGTTCTGCTGGTGCCACTCGCTGTCACTCCAAGGAATGAGCTGTCCATTTTCCATCCGACCCACCTGCAAACAGTCAACAATATCCACTTCTCCAATCAGAGATTTTGATTTCGACTGTGCAATGCAAATACGCGTTCTTTTTGCCAAAGCGGTCCCTCGAATTTCCCAAATCTTTGTGCCTTCGAAGATCTTCTCACACCATTGCTTCTTGATCACTAGGGCAACGCCAGGCTGCTTTGTCTCACTGCAGTCGATGACCCTGGGTGCTGCATTGAGCTTTCGGAAAACAGGCGACCTGTGTCCAGCAACACTGGGTCCGACGGATTTCCCTGTCTTTCTCTTCTGAAATTCTGATGCATTTTCTGGCAGCTTTGAACCGCCCACCAGCTTCAGTTTTAGAGGTGAAGGATTTTGCACAGTGGCCTCTGATGGAGCAATCCAAGGGCATTCCCCAGCAAGCTCTGACCGTGGAGCTTCGGGATTGGCCTGATTGATCTGATCGGGGTTGCTCCTCGATGCCAGTGGAATGGACGATTTGATGAATTGGAGAAATTTCCCTGGCCGCCTTGGCCCTCTCTCAAGGAAGCCAGGGTCTGGCTCCGAGGCGTCAGGCTGAGCAGGGCATGAGTGTTTTTCGAGTCTACCCCTCTTTAGACTCTTGGGTATGCCTCCACCAGTTGCCTTGACTTTGAGCCCCTCCGGATGCTCCCGGGTACTCAATCCTTCATCTGCAGGCCTTGAGTTCATCGATGGGAGTGACCCAGCAACAGGGGTCTTGGAAGCACCATTCAACACTGAATTCTGAGCCTCCCTCAAAGTACAACTTTGATCCCCGAAGCTCACGATGGGCTCCTCCTTGCAAAGAAAATTTGCCAATCAATTCCCAAAGGAACTTCACAACTTCATAATCATAAACTTAAGTGGTACTTGACTCGGCACCTACTACACCAAGTACTTGTCAGTTCCATCCCATGTCCTCTGAATCATCTGGCACCGAGATGATGGATCGACTCAGAAGCGCAGATTTCTCCTCGGCTTCGCACGGGCCCCGGCCATATCACAATCTAAGGAAATGCAGCCCCGCAAGCCGTCAGAACTGGGGTGCTCACCTGTCAACACATTGCAGCAAATAGAATTGTGAAGATTAAAGAGTATTCCGGGATTGGGGGCAGTTCCTTGGACTTCATTTGATAATGATGTTGCTCAAGTACCTAGACATACCTGACCTACATAATTGACTCAAATCACAAACCGGCTGGCAATTGAAGACCATTTCGGCCCAGCATCTTCAGGTGCCGGCACAACAATGGATCCAGTTGAGGTTCTCTGTAGCTCTGGAAACTTTGCATCCTCCTTAGATCGCTCGAACTGCCAACCCGCTGTACTCCTCTACCATGGGCCGTGCATGCGCACCCGCCTGTCACCACTGCCGTTGCTCCCAGTCCCAACCAAACTCTCAGAGCATGCGATGTTACGTAAGGGGTCTACAAAAACATGAACAGGGAAAACAAAAAATGGCAAGGCCATAAAGCCCCCTTGAAAAAGGACTTCCCTTCTTTGGTTTTCATTTTGTCAGCTTGCTTTAGTATTGACGGCAGTTCTCTCGAGGCTCGTCAGGAGCCTCCTCAGAAACTGGCGCAGCACATGGCTGCGACAGGGGCCGAAAGCCCTAGCAAGGTCAAAGCCGAATTCGGAAACTATATAACCGGTCGGATTTCGAAACTCGGGTTCTGAAAAAAACGATTCTGGCTCTGAAACGACCATTCTGAGACTGGGGTTCTGAAGCTGGTATTCTGGGACCCCAGTTGCGGAACCACAGTTGCGGAATCCCAATTGCCAAACCTCAGTTGCGGAAGCCTAGTTGTGGAAGCCTAGGTGCGGAACCCCAGTTGCGGAACGAAACCCCACTTGCGGAATCCCAGTTGCGGAACCCCAGTTGCAGAAGCCTAGTTGCGGAACCCCAGTTGCGGAATCCAGTTGCGAAACCACAGTTACGGAAGCCTAGTTCAGTTGCGGAACCTGGAACCCCAGTTGCGGAAGCCTAGTTGCGGAGTCCCAGTTCCAGAACCCCAGTTGCAGAAGCCTAGTTGCGGAACCCCAGTTGCGGAAGCCTAGTTGCGGAACCCCGGTTGCGGAAGCCTAGCTACGGAACCCCAGTTGCGGAACCTGGAACCCCAGTTGCGGAAGCTTAGTTGCGGAATCCCAGTTGCAGAACCCCAGTGCGGAAGCCTAGTTGCGGAACCCCAGCAACATGAACACGAAGAGCGCCTTTCTGACCAGGCGGTGGACGCATGCTGAGATCTTCCTTGAAGCTATGGGCCACCCAAGGTTGCACATCAATGTCAATGCGCCCTGAAATTGTCCGCTTGCACTTGTTTCGACGGGAGCCCGAGGCTGACACTGCGCACGTACGTACGAGCACCCTAAGCTTGGCCCGGAATGCACACTGGCAATGCGGCCCCGGGCACACTTGGCCATCCTTCAGTCCCCCCTTGCTGCTGCAGCTGGCATGCACCAACCGTAGGAGGCGTTTTACCAATAAACCAGGGAGATGTTTGCAGAACTCGGGCAGCCTGCGCGCAAAGCCTTACGTGAACGTGGAAAAAGCAACGATAAGCAAAACCCCGACATTCAAAAAGCGCTTGGTTTCAGCCACCGACTGGATTGCACTGTCAACCTCGCGCAGCATCCTAGCGGCTGCCGCTTGATTAATCCAGGGTTCTGCTGCTTGCTGAGGCGCCAAGGCAAATGGGCGCACACAGTGCTCAAACACTGCAGCAAAGGCCAAGAGAAAGGCAACCTGCGGGCCCAGTTTTGGCGCGCCGGAAGACCCAATGAAACGGGCGCCCATGTTTGTAAAAGAGCTTGGAAGAAATCCCAACCGTTGCGAAGGAAAAACCCAACCAAAAAGTGGAAGCGCGAGTTTCAGGCGAGCAACAAAGGCAAGGGAGCACAGCCGTCTACCTATGGAAAGCAAACTTGAAAGGCTCTGTTTTCCGTGGCCTTGGCGCCGCCAAGCTAGGCGGGCTTGCAAAGCGAGGAGGTACACAGCAAGTTCCGCAAAATGTTGTTGCCCGAAGCATGAGTTTGCCTTCGCCAGATCCATACAAACCACCCAAGGCAGCAGCTACCTGGCCAGAATCCGGACAGGGCCCTCTCTTGGCCAAGCTCTTTGTTTCAACAATCATTGCGGGGGGAAGCTATGTTTCAACAATCATTGGGCAAGAAAAATGACCCCTGTTTACAACCAAAACTATTTCAGAAAAGCTACCACTAGTCGCTTTGAAACTTGAAACCAAAACACGGTCCCAAGTACAGCACTGGTTCATGAATGAACGCCTTGCCGAATTTGTTCGCACGCTCCTGTCGAGCCATGCCTCGCCTCAGGCCCCCACGACAAAGGGCCCCATCGCCTGTCACACAGGCGAGGCGGCCACGAAGAGCAAGGAGGCCAAAAACACGTGGGCGCGCCAACAAAGTTTGCAAAGTCAAGGTCGCTAAGTTCTCGCCGGTGTGCCCCTCAAGAGCCATCGTGGGCGCATCCAAGAACATACGGACTGATTGAGCAAATGCACGTGACAAGGCACGTTTCGTGGCGGGATGTTGGCCGAAGCCAAGAGTCCAGCATCAGGCTGAAATCTGACGCAATTCTCAGCCAGGGATCAGCGTGGCCAGATCTAACGAATCCAAATGCCGCATGGTAGCTGCAGCAATGTCGACAACATGGGTGTAGAATTCTCGCCCGGAGCAAGCAGTGCCAGCACCGGCACCCTGTCTCGAAAGCTTGCGCAGCCAGCTCATGTTATTTGAAGCAAGAACCCCATAGCTTCGCTATCGGGGAATGAAATCTATATCCTTGAGAAGGTACAACAAAATCCAGTCAAAGGCCCCCTTGTTAGGCACTCAGAAGGAGCACCAAAGGAACTAGCATAGACAGACAAACCAGGAGACCAAACAATCAGCGGACTGCTTACGTAAGCTTCATTGGACCGCTTCATTCATCAGAAGCCAAAACAAAACGCGCCCAAGAATCCCATGGTTGGGCACTGACAAAAATCTGTGTATATCAAATTGGTGGCCCGTGAGGCACAAACAGCACATAGACTTGCATGGCTCGGCACGGCAACGGCATGCTTCAGGCACAGTAACGTGTTGGTGCCTAAGGATTGCCAGGGGCAAAACCTTCCAAGCCTCTAAAACAAGACGCGCGACAAAGCCAGCCACAAGAAGGTTTCTCAGGCAAAGAAAGCGGAGCCAAAGTTGGAATGTATTCTTCACAGCCTGATTATTTTTGATATATAAGTAACTTACTGCTTTAAGCCCAGGCACCATCTTTCAAGTTCTCAACCAGACGCTCGCGAATCGCCTGCTGATAGTCCTGAATGGTGAGCTTCACGATGCAGAAAGTATGGCGAGGCCTCTGGCTGCATGGTGCAAATGTTGTGGGAACAGACTATCTTCGAGACATTCTTTGGAGTGTACGTTATCTAGGAGAATTTCTGGGCATACTCAAAGGCTAACCAAACCAAAAATGTTGCACGTCAGGCCAAAACGCTCCCAATTCGGCAATCCCAAAGGTCTGAAGTTCTTATTGTTTGGAGAGTTTCCTGACAGTTGACACGCCAATGTCTTGCCTTCGTTGATCAGCAATTGGCGCGCGGCCAGGAGCGGCGAGGGCCGGCAATGCAGCACATAGCGGCCGTCGAACGAGTTCAGGCCGTCTTGCGGCATGAAGAGAACACCCCGCTGGACTTGAGAGCGCAAAGGGTGCGAGCAAAGCGTGCGCAGGAGAGCTGCGCGCCAGGCAGGAGCGCATATATATATATATATAGGGATTGTTCTAAACCTAGGTGCAGGGCATAATGCTGAAAAGCTCTTGCGCTCGCCCTTGCGCACACGCAGGCACCTGGAAGACCGAACAAGAGGAAGAGCTCCGCCACGTTCCGCGCGTCATCGTACCTTGTCGTAGAAGTAGAAGTAGAAGTAGAAGAAGAAGAAGTAGTAGTAGTAGCTGTTGTTGTTGTTGTAATTGTAAATCTTGCGCTCGCCCGCCCTTGCGCCTTCTTGCGCCTACCAGGTCAAACCAACCAAAAAAATGATCAATCTTTCTGACATGTCCTCTCTAAAGCCTGTCTCTATGCCAGGGGTTTCGAACGGCTCCCATATATTGCTTTTCCCGAAAGCATTGCGAAGGGTTCTTCCGGAAAATCCTTTGAACACTGACACTTCGACACTTACACTTACACACTGACACTTCCACCACACTTGCACTACAACATGAACGCTATACGTACCCCAGTGTAAGCGGAAGAGCGCAAGCATCCAAGTGCTAAGTATGCAAGTGTCAAAGTATGCAAGTGTAATGATGCAAGTGCGATGATGAGTATGGAAAACTAGCACAAGAGATGTCCTAATGATGAGCACTAATGATGAGCATGGAAAACTAGCACGGGAGATGTCCTAATGAAAAACATTTCCCCACTTTGTAAATTCTCTCTTAAAGGCGGAGGGTGGGACGAACAGCGTCAACCGAAAGCGCAACCCTCTGCGGAGATCGTGCGTGTCGAGTGCGCGAAATGCAGGCGAG